TATAAATATATATATAATATATATATTTTGCTGATGCGGTATACAGTGTGTATATATGTGTGTGTGTGTGTGTATGTGTGTGTAAATTTATATACACACACATGCAAACAGTTCCTGGAAGAGAACTCTGAATGCTTTGCTAGCAAAACACTGTGGTGTGCAAACCTAGAATTCAATAGAGAAAAAGCCATTTATCTGAAGGCTGCATAGTGGAGAGAGTCTTCAGTTTACCTCATTCTTTGTAGCAGCCCTTGATTTTAACAGGTTTTTGTAATAGGTACAAATAATCCCATATCTTTCTAGGTGCAATTTTAAGTTAAGCTAAAATTCTTTGTAGGGTTAATTTATTTGTATATGATAGTAGAAGGTAAGATCCTGTCAAACCTTGTAATTTGGGGAATCTGACACTATTTAAATTATTGGCAACTGTTGTCTGTTGTACAGAGGTTCTTTTTCTACTGGCTCGGTCTGTTACATTAATAATGCATTTGATATGTTCAAGCACACAACTTTACATAAATACAAAGTTCACTAGGAATAGCGATTTACAATAATTTGGCTATTTACAACACTAACATCAATCACTCTGCTATAAAAATTAAATTTACGTGCTTTTCATCTGTAAGCATTATGAGCACATCTCCTTAACCAAAAACCTGAGCAATACAATATTTTCTCTTTATATGCTGTATGCCTTTGTTTGCTAAAAGCTAACATTTCTGCATTTACTTTAAAGGGCTGTACTGAACCACAGCTTTACGTTTTTTTCCTAAAAGAAGCATTGCAGCTAATCCTTGAACCCACAAGTAGTTTGAAAATACAGTGTTTCTCTTCTCCACATTTCCATGCCTTGTCAGTGCTTAATTTTTCCAGGTGAACACTATAGATGATCTCCTGCTTGAAATGGATGGGGGACAGGAGGGTCTTTCATGGCAAGGAAAGTCAGTTTTCATGGCCATGGAGCTAAGTTGTTCTTCTTTCTAGTGAGACGGCAACCCAATGTCCCTGTTAGTGGAGTGAGAGCCCCGCATGGTCCATGAGCTATAGAATACAGCTTCACACAAATGAATGAATGCACTGTTTTCTAAAAACCTAGATTATAAAATGCCGAACGATTACTTAAGAGATGGGCTGACTCCTCAGATATTTAAAGCATGAGAAAGAGGAGCCTGATGGTTTCCACACTGGCTTGGTTAACGTTCATACTATCTTACTGTTAATTCAGCAGTGTTTCATTGTGGATGGAAACCCCAGTGTTGCCGCTCACTCAGGAGTGGGGTTGAAGGGCGGGCCACCGCTGTGGTGCATCCTTGAGTGTTCTGGGGGAGTGTCGCACTTTTCTTTCCCGGGGCCAAAGAAACCTTTAGAAAATGCCTGAGGGAGTCTCTTTTTGCCCAAGTGTTATGATGTCTGGTCAGTGATAAGAATGCTACTGGACGTGTGCTGTGGACATTTGGGATTGCCATTGCCATGGGGATTTGATTGGTCCTCCGTCACATGGGTCACTTTGAAGGAAAGCTTTCGTTGTCACCATTATACCACTGAGATAAAGTGTTAGCAAAGTATGGTTCAAGTTAATATATGAGATGACCAAGAGCTTTTTCTCTTCCAAAAAATGAATTTTATTGTAAATAGTTTCTCAAAATATTTTTAACTGGATCATGAGCATGGGGAGAGAAAGTTTCTCAGCTGCTAAGAATTTCCCCACTGTTTACTTCTTTCACTTACAGTGGTATCGCATAGAAGATGACAGAATTTAAGGTTTTATTTGTATCTATTACCCAAACCATTAAATTGTCTTTAATTTCATCACCGTCTTGGAGGTCAAGTGCATAAAGGACTGATAGAGGAAAACACCCTCTAGCCAGTCAGCACTCTAACCTGGGATTAAAACGGTCCCCTCGAATAGTTACATGAAGTCAAATCTTTGTACTCTTCCAGACCAAACATTGAAATGGACTCGTTCATATAAAATTCTATACATCCTGTAAGTGAAAAGGGAACCAACTGTCAGCAGTTGCTTTGAAAAAGGTCACTATAATAAGTACTATATAGTACAGTATTAATTTATAGCAGGAAATCATATCTTGTAAACTGTATATAAGACACTGTTTTATGGTGCAATCATTTGTCAACCTTTTGTCTGTTACATTGTTTTTAGAGTGTGTGCATTATTCTCATGCCTAAGAACATCACTGTAAAATCTGCTGAAAACTATTTATAGGTTTTATTTGCACAGGACTTAATTAGTTTGGAATTTTTGGAAGCTCCTATTGAACATGCCTAAACGTCTGTAAACGTGGAAAACCTTCACTTCATTAAAAGCAAACATTTCAGTATGATTCTTTCCAAAGGTAATCCATGTTCTATGTTGTTCATGTGTGTATGTAATTTTCCTGACTCTTCTACTTATAAACTGATTTTCTGTCCCATTTTTTTTATTTTTGAAGGACGGCTTTTTTTTTTCCTTTTTAATGTTCTAGATGACCAAAACACTTTATTGGTTTTCACCCTTTTGCCTAAAGCTTTGATATCCCCACTTGATGTTCTGTGAATTCACTGTTTAATCTGTTAAGTAAAAGAATACAATAGTCCTGGTGACACACAACCTGTTGATTTAGAAGAAAGGCCCTGAAAAAGGATTGGAACCTAACTTCGGATATACTCTTAGCTATTATTTTGCATCGTGGGCTTCATGGAAAGAACATGTTGCATTTATTTTGTCTTTATTAAAAGACTACTAGCCACAGTTAACTTTGGTTGTAGTAACTATTTTATCAACCCACTTTGATCTTCTTTAAAAAATTAAATTTACGTTCATAATACAAAACAGTAAGCTGTCTTTCAGAGCTAAGTTTTGAAGGATAAAAATATATGAAGGAGAAAAGTGGCCTGTGTAGGCTGTATTCCCTACATAGGATTTATTAGTTGTATCACCTCCAGAGATTTTGAAGCTTGTGATCAAGGTCTGTATATTACCCCGAACTTTATTAAGAATTGTTTTCTAATTGGTTATAACATTTTTCAATTAATAGTTTCAAAACAAATTGTTAATACAAACTGTATAAAATGAACATAATTTTCTTCACTTGTATTTTTGTTATTGAGCAAGTTTATCAAAATAAATTGTCTACTAAAGAAACTAAAAAGGCTTCTATTACTTTGAAATAAGCTTTGATTTTTGAAATTTATTTCAAAAGTTGACTTCTGATAGAGGTTTTACATCTTCACACAGTGACACTTCCATGCCTGTTGGTTTAGTTTTGTTTTTGGCATCGTGCAAGAGGAAGGCCTCCCCATGTCTTCCTTCACTCCTACTGCTAGCTCCCCAGCTTGGGAAGAGGTGGCATTAACATTACAGAACGTGGGTTAGGCCTTGTTTACCAGTAAGAGTCACTCAGCAGTAAAGACCACACACGTGCCTCTCTCTTCTGCCTCATGTTTCCCTGGACCTGGAGAGAGACACTGAGCCAAGGCTCCCAGAACCAGCCATCTTTCTTCTCTTTCTTCCTTGCACAAAGACCTAAGCCCTTTCATCTTTGCTTCAGTCTTTCTTCTGTTTTACTGCAGGCCAGAGGATCTTAGCTTCTAGGATTTTAAAACTTGGGTCGGAAGAGCCATATAGAGGCCCTTGGTCTCTAGACGTGTCCATGTGCTCCATCCCAAGCTGTACTGTAGCAGCTCTCTGGAGGGATCAGGGTCAGCCCAGCCTCATAATAACAAAGGAGCAAATGAAACACTATATACCCTTTGCTGCTGTTTCTTTCTTAGATGGCCTCTTCAGGAGCCTCCTGGGGAGTTAGGTGCATAAGACAAGGTAGGATTTGGACATTGTTGAGTTCCGTATCTTAAGGGCATTTTCTTAGGGTGACCAACCATCTCAGTTTGCCTGAGACTGAGGGGTTTCCCAGGACATGAGACTTTCAGTGCTATTACTGAGAAAGCTCCAGGCAACCGGGGATGACTTGATCACATTCACACCATCCAAAACTCACCCTGATTTATAGTACGGATTAGAGGTTTTGGAAGAGTTTTTTTCTGTAAACATGAATAGGTCAATTGGAAAATGTAATTAATGGTAGACTCATACTGAACTTCTAAGTGGGAGGGTGGGGATACTTTTTATTAATACCTTATGGAAAGGCAACAGACTGGCTTTAAAAACAGTAACACGGGTTCAGAAATCCCTTGTTGTGACTTAGTCTTCTATCAGTTCCAGTCACTGTATGAGATGACAGAAAACACCAAGGCTAGAGGACTGGGTTCCTTTTATGCAGAGTCAACTCTTCCAGGACAAAAATAAAAGTAGTTATTTATAAATGGTATTAAAGATAGAAAGCATGAAGCTGTATTAATTTTTAGAATTTTGGTTCTTTTTCCAGCAGAAGAAAACACCGAGATGATATTTTTCAAGAGCATTCAAGGTTTCTACAAATGAGCTCCAGTTCCACAGACTAAGGCCATCCAAGATTAAATTTCAAGGAGAAATTTTTCATGAGACTCATAACATTTCAGAGCTGGATGAAATCTACAAGAGCATGTTCAGTGTTTCCATTTTACAGATAAAGGAATCAAGGACTCAGAAAGGCTTATTGGTTTTCCCAGTCACACAGCTCGGCCAGCAAAGCACTGGAAATAGGACAGAATACCTTTGACCCAGTGGGCCTTGGACAGTTCTTGACCTGCACAGCTGTTCAAATTCTGTTGCTATTTGAACCAGTCTTCCTTGAACTCCTCTCCATCTACTTCAATCCATCCAAATCATTTCTGCCAAA